ATGAACAAAGATGGCCGCCGCCCGAGTCTTCGAGCTCAGTGGGAGCAGAAGGCTCAGAGCATCGCAGACCAGAACCAGCAAGAGAAGGACTGGAGGAGGAAGAGCACCATGACAGTGTATGTAGCCCAGGACCAGGACCAGGACTGTAGACCAGGACTGAGGCTGTAGACCCAGGACCAGAACTGTAGACCAGGACTGAGGCTGCAGACCCAGGACCAGGACTGTAGACCAGGACTGAGGCTGTAGACCCAGGACCAGGACTGTAGACCAGGACTGTAGACCAGGACTGAGGCTGCAGACCCAGGACCAGGACTGTAGACCAGGACTGAGGCTGTAGACCCAGGACTGAGGCTGTAGACCCAGGACTGAGGCTGTAGACCCAGGACTGAGGCTGTAGACCCAGGACTGAGGCTGTAGACCCAGGCCAGGACTGAGGCTGTAGACCCAGGACTGAGACTGCAGACCCAGGACTGAAGCTGTAGACCCAGGACTGAGGCTGTGTTTCCCGCAGACGAGAATCTAAATGGTCGTACCACCACCAGCTCATCAACAAAGGTCCGTCTGAGTTCCAGAAAGCCACGAGTTGCCATGACGAAGAGGATTCCAAGCCGAAGATCCGCTTCAAAGTGGTGGCCCCGCCCCCTCCAAGGCCTAAAACGCCGCCTGCGGCCAAAACCCCCGCCCCGCGCAGAGGAGACTCCCCCAAACTCAGGGTCAAGCGTAAAGTGGAGGTGGACGTCTTCAAAGTGCGTGTGAGAGTTTGCATGTTCTCCACATGTCTCTCTCTGGTCTCTCTGGTCTCTCTCTGGTCTCTCTCTGGTCTCTCTGGTCTCTCTCTGGTCTCTCTCTCTGGTCTCTCTCTGGTCTCTCTGGTCTCTCTCTGGTCTCTCTGGTCTCTCTCTGGTCTCTCTCTGGTCTCTCTGGTCTCTCTCTGGTCTCTTTCTGGTCTCTCTCTGGTCTCTCTCTGGTCTCTCTCTGGTCTCTCTCTGGTCTCTCTGGTCTCTCTCTGGTCTCTTTCTGGTCTCTCTCTGGTCTCTCTCTGGTTTCGGTCTTAATCTCTATGGTCTCTCTGGTCTTTCTGGTGTCTCCAAGTCTCTCTGGTCTCTCCATGGTCCCTCTGCTCCCTCTGATCTCTCTCTTGTCCCTCTGGTCCCTCTGGTCTCTTCATGGTATCTTCATGGTCTCTGGTCTCTCGATGGTCCCTCTGGTCTCTTCATGGTCTCTGGTCCCTTTGGTCCCTCTGGTCTCTCCATGGTCCCTCTGGTCTCTCTCTGGTCTCTTCATGGTCTTTGGTCTCCCTCTGGTCCCTCTGGTCTCCCCATGATCTTGGTCTCTCTGTGTTCCCTCTGGTCTCTTCATGGTCTCTTCATGGTCCTTCTGGTCTCCTCACGGTCTCTGGTCTCTTTGTGTTCCCTCTGGTCTCTTCATGGTGTCTGGTCTCTTCATGGTCCTTCTGGTCTCCCCACGGTCTCTGGTCTCTCTGTGTTCCCTCTGGTCTCTTCATGGTCCCTCTGGTCTCTTCATGGTCTCTTCATGTTGTCTGGTCTCTTCATGGTCCTTCTGGTCTCCCCACGGTCTCTGGTCTCTCTGTGTTCCCTCTGGTCTTTTCATGGTCCCTCTGGTCTCTTCATGGTCTCTTCATGTTGTCTGGTCTCTTCATGGTCCTTCTGGTCTCCCCATGGTCTCTGATCTCTGGTCTCAGATCTGCTGGAGAGACTCCTGGATGAGCCTGAAGCCTCCAAAGTACCTGTTCCTGAAGATGATGGAGCTTCGTGAGCGCCTGGGCTTCACCCCCATTCACCTGGTCCCTAAGGTCCCCATGGTCCCCATGGTCCCCAAAGTTAAGGAGACCAGGGCCCCTCTCCCAGAGCTCTGGAGCCAGTCCTGGAGGAAGGTACTGCCCCTCCAGAGAAAGTCATGTGATCACTGTTCACTCTGATACAGCTGCTGCGCTAGCAGGTTAGCATCTGTATACAGGATGGTACCATGTGGACAATGCTAACCTGCTAGCATCAAGCTATTCTCCTCTCCTCTCTCTGGTCTCTCTTGGTCTCTCTCTGGTCTCTCTCTCTGGTCTCTCTCTGGTCTCTCTCTGGTCTCTTTGGTCTCTCTCTGGTCTTCTCTCTCTGGTCTCTCTTTCTGGTCTCTCTCTGGTCTCTCTCTCTGGTCTCTCCCTGGTCTCTCTCTGGTCTCTCTCTCTGGTCTCTCTCTCTGGTCTCTCTCTGGTCTCTCTCTGGTCTCTTTGGTCTCTCTCTGGTCTCTCTCTGGTCTCTCTCTGGTCTCTCTCTCTGGTCTCTCTCTCTGGTCTCTCTCTCTGGTCTCTCTCTCTGGTCTCTCTCTCTGGTCTCTCTCTCTGGTCTCTCTCTGGTCTCTCTCTCTGGTCTCTCTCTCTGGTCTCCCTCTCTGGTCTCTCTCTGGTCTCCCTCTCTGGTCTCTCTCTCTGGTCTCTCTCTGGTCTCTCTCTGGTCTCTCTCTGGTCTCTTTGGTCTCTCTCTGGTCTCTCTCTGGTCTCTCTCTGGTCTCTCTCTCTGGTCTCTCTCTCTGGTCTCTCTCTGGTCTCTCTCTCTGGTCTCTCTCTCTGGTCTCTCTCTCTGGTCTCTCTCTCTGGTCTCTCTCTCTGGTCTCTCTCTCTGGTCTCTCTCTCTGGTCTCCCTCTCTGGTCTCTCTCTGGTCTCTCTCTCTGGTCTCTCTCTGGTCTCTCTCTCTGGTCTCTCTCTGGTCTCTCTCTCTGGTCTCTCATCGTTGCTGGTCTCCTTAGATGAGGAGTTCCCCATGGTGTGTGTATGAGGAGGTGCTGCAGTGGGAGGTGCTCTGTGCTCAGAGGCCTCCTCTCTGCGCCTCCATCGCTCCGTACTCGCTCCCCGTTTGGGCCGGGACCTGGAAGATCATGAACTTTGCGTTTCGGCAGCAGAAGACCATGTGGGACCTCCCATGGTCCTACTACCAGCAGACCCCCACAGAGCGCCTCCCCCTCATCCTTAACATTGACGAGGAGGTGAGTGAGAGGAAGAGCAGTTAGAGAGGAGGAGGCTGAGGAGGAGCAGGCAGAGAGGAGGAGCAGGCAGAGAGGAGGAGCAGGCAGAGAGGAGGAGCAGGCAGAGAGGAGGAGCAGAGGAGAGAGGAGGAGCAGGCAGAGAGGAGGAGCAGGCAGAGAGGAGGAGCAGACAGAGAGGAGGAGCAGGCAGAGAGGAGGAGCAGGCAGAGAGGAGGAGAGAACCTGACAGGCAGGCAGAGAGGAGGAGCAGGCAGAGAAGAGGAGCAGACAGAGAGGAGGAGCAGGCAGAGAGGAGGAGCAGACAGAGAGGAGGAGCAGGCAGAGAGGAGGAGCAGGCAGAGAGAGGAGAGGCAGAGAGGAGACCTGGACAGAGAACCTGACTGAGAACCTGACTGAGAACCTGACAGAGAACCTGACAGAGAACCTGACAGAGAACCTGACAGAGAACCTGACAGAGAACCTGACAGAGAACCTGACAGAGAACCTGACAGAGAACCTGACAGAGAACCTGACAGAGAACCTGACAGAGAACCTGACAGAGAACCTGACAGAGAACCTGACAGAGAACCTGACAGAGAACCTGACAGAGAACCTGACAGAGAACCTGACAGAGAACCTGACAGAGAACCTGACAGAGAACCTGACAGAGAACCTGACAGAGAACCTGACAGAGAACCTGACAGAGAACCTGACAGAGAACCTGACAGAGAACCTGACAGAGAACCTGACTGAGAACCTGACTGAGAACCTGACAGAGAACCTGACAGAGAACCTGACAGAGAACCTGACAGAGAACCTGACAGAGAACCTGACAGAGAACCTGACTGAGAACCTGACAGAGAACCTGACTGAGAACCTGACTGAGAACCTGACAGAGAACCTGACAGAGAACCTGACAGAGAACCTGACAGAGAACCTGACAGAGAACCTGACAGAGAACCTGACTGAGAACCTGACAGAGAACCTGACTGAGAACCTGACAGAGAACCTGACAGAGAACCTGACAGAGAACCTGACAGAGAACCTGACAGAGAACCTGACAGAGATCCTGACAGAGAACCTGACAGAGAACCTGACTGAGAACCTGACAGAGAACCTGACTGAGAACCTGACAGAGAACCTGACTGAGAACCTGACTGAGAACCTGACAGAGAACCTGACAGAGAACCTGACAGAGAACCTGACAGAGAACCTGACTGAGAACCTGACAGAGAACCTGACAGAGAACCTGACAGAGAACCTGACTGAGAACCTGACAGAGAACCTGACAGAGAACCTGACAGAGAACCTGACAGAGAACCTGACAGAGAACCTGACAGAGAACCTGACAGAGAACCTGACAGAGAACCTGACTGAGAACCTGACAGAGAACCTGACAGAGATCCTGACAGAGAACCTGACAGAGAACCTGACAGAGAACCTGACTGAGAACCTGACAGAGAACCTGACAGAGAACCTGACAGAGAACCTTACTGAGAACCTGACAGAGAACCTGACAGAGATCCTGACAGAGAACCTGACAGAGATCCTGACAGAGAACCTGACAGAGAACCTGACAGAGAACCTGACAGAGAACCTGACAGAGAACCTGACAGAGAACCTGACAGAGAACCTGACAGAGAACCTGACAGAGAACCTGACAGAGAACCTGACTGAGAAACTGAGAAACCTGACTCTGAACCTGACAGAGAACCTGACAGAGATCCTGACAGAGAACCTGACAGAGAACCTGACGAGAGAACCTGACAGAGAACCTGACTGAGAACCTGACAGAGAACCTGACAGAGAACCTGACAGAGAACCTGACAGAGAACCTGACAGAGAACCTGACGAGAACCTAGAGAACCTGACTGAGAACCTGACTGAGAACCTGACAGAGAACCTGACAGAGAACCTGACAGAGAACCTGACTGAGAACCTGACTGAGAACCTGACAGAGAACCTGACAGAGAACCTGACAGAGAACTGACAGACAACCTGACAGAGAACCTGACAGAGAACCTGACAGAGAACCTGACAAAGAACCTGACAGAGAACCTGACTGAGAACCTGACAGAGAACCTGACTGAGAACCTGACAGAGAACCTGACAGAGAACCTGACAGAGAACCTGACAGAGAACCTGACTGAGAACCTGACAGAGAACCTGACAGAGAACCTGACTGAGAACCTGACTGAGAACCTGACAGAGAACCTGACTGAGAACCTGACAGAGAACCTGACAGAGATCCTGACAGAGAACCTGACAGAGAACCTGACAGAGAACCTGACTGAGAACCTGACTGAGAACCTGACAGAGAACCTGACAGAGAACCTGACAGAGAACCTTACTGAGAACCTGACAGAGAACCTGACAGAGATCCTGACAGAGAACCTGACAGAGAACCTGACAGAGAACCTGACAGAGAACCTGACAGAGATCCTGACAGAGAACCTGACAGACAACCTGACTGAGAACCTGACAGAGAACCTGATAGAGAACCTGACAGAGAACCTGACAGAGAACCTGACAGAGAACCTGACAGAGAACTTGACAGACAACCTGACAGAGAACCTGACAGAGAACCTGACAGAGAACCTGACAAAGAACCTGACAGAGAACCTGACTGAGAACCTGACAGAGAACCTGACTGAGAACCTGACAGAGAACCTGACAGAGAACCTGACAGAGAACCTGACTGAGAACCTGACAGAGAACCTGACAGAGAACCTGACAGAGAACCTGACAGAGAGACAGAGAACCTGACAGAGAACCTGACAGAGAACCTGACAGAGAACCTGACAGAGATCCTGACAGAGAACCTGACAGAGAACCTGACAGAGAACCTGACAGAGAACCTGACAGAGAACCTGACAGACAACCTGACTGAGAACCTGACAGAGAACCTGACAGAGAACCTGACTGAGAACCTGACTGAGAACCTGACAGAGAACCTGACTCTGAACCTGACAGAGAACCTGACTGAGAACCTGACTGAGAACCTGACTGAGAACCTGACAGAGAACCTGACAGAGATCCTGACAGAGAACCTGACAGAGAACCTGACAGAGAACCTGACAGAGAACCTGACAGAGAACCTGACAGAGAACCTGACAGAGAACCTGACTGAGAACCTGACAGAGAACCTGACAGAGAACCTGACAGAGAACCTGACAGAGAACCTGACAGAGAACCTGACAGAGAACTTGACAGACAACCTGACAGAGAACCTGACAGAGAACCTGACAGAGAACCTGACAAAGAACCTGACAGAGAACCTGACTGAGAACCTGACAGAGAACCTGACAGAGAACCTGACAGAGAACCTGACAGAGAACCTGACAGAGAACCTGACAGAGAACCTGACAGAGAACCTGACTGAGAACCTGACAGAGAACCTGACAGAGAACCTGACAGAGAACCTGACAGAGAACCTGACAGAGAACCTGACAGAGAACCTGACAGAGAACCTGACAGAGAACCTGACAGAGAACCTGACAGAGATCCTGACAGAGAACCTGACAGAGAACCTGACAGAGAACCTGACAGAGAACCTGACAGAGAACCTGACAGACAACCTGACTGAGAACCTGACAGAGAACCTGACAGAGAACCTGACTGAGAACCTGACTGAGAACCTGACAGAGAACCTGACTCTGAACCTGACAGAGAACCTGACTGAGAACCTGACTGAGAACCTGACTGAGAACCTGACAGAGAACCTGACAGAGAACCTGACTGAGAACCTGACAGAGAACCTGACTGAGAACCTGACAGAGAACCTGACAGAGAACCTGACAGAGAACCTGACAGACTGACAGAGAACCTGACAGAGAACCTGACAGAGAACCTGACAGAGAACCTGACAGAGAACCTGACTGAGAACCTGACTGAGAACCTGACAGAGAACCTGACAGAGAACCTGACTGAGAACCTGACAGAGAACCTGACAGAGAACCTGACAGAGAACCTGACTGAGAACCTGACTGAGAACCTGACAGAGAACCTGACAGAGAACCTGACAGAGAACCTGACAGAGAACCTGACAGAGAACCTGACAGAGAACCTGACTGAGAACCTGACTGAGAACCTGACAGAGAACCTGACAGAGAACCTGACAGAGAACCTGACAGAGAACCTGACAGAGAACCTGACAAAGAACCTGACAGAGAACCTGACAGAGAACCTGACAGAGAACCTGACAGAGAACCTGACTGAGAACCTGACAGAGAACCTGACAGAGAACCTGACAGAGAACCTGACAGAGATCCTGACAGAGAACCTGACAGAGAACCTGACAGAGAACCTGACTGAGAACCTGACAGAGAACCTTACTGAGAACCTGACAGAGAACCTGACTGAGAACCTGACAGAGAACCTGACAGAGAACCTGACAGAGAACCTGACAGAGAACCTGACTGAGAACCTGACTGAGAACCTGACAGAGAACCTCACTCTGAACCTGACAGAGAACCTGACAGAGAACCTGACTGAGAACCTGACTGAGAACCTGACTGAGAACCTGACAGAGAACCTGACTGAGAACCTGACTGAGAACCTGACAGAGAACCTGACAGAGAACCTGACTGAGAACCTGACTGAGAACCTGACAGAGAACCTGACAGAGAACCTGACAGAGAACCTGACAGAGAACCTGACAGAGAACCTGACAGAGAACCTGACAGAGAACCTGACTGAGAACCTGACAGAGAACCTGACTCTGAACCTGACAGAGAACCTGACAGAGAACCTGACAGAGAACCTGACAGAGAACCTGACAGAGAACCTGACAGAGAACCTGACTGAGAACCTGACAGAGAACCTGACACTGAACCTGACAGAGAACCTGACAGAGAACCTGACAGAGAACCTGACTGAGAACCTGACAGAGAACCTGACAGAGAACCTGACAGAGAACCTGACTGAGAACCTGACTGAGAACCTGACAGAGAACCTGACAGAGAACCTGACAGAGAACCTGACTGAGAACCTGACTGAGAACCTGACAGAGAACCTGACTCTGAACCTGACAGAGAACCTGACAGAGAACCTGACAGAGAACCTGACAGAGAACCTGACTGAGAACCTGACAGAGAACCTGACTCTGAACCTGACAGAGAACCTGACAGAGAACCTGACAGAGAACCTGACAGAGAACCTGACAGAGAACCTGACAGAGAACCTGACTGAGAACCTGACAGAGAACCTGACACTGAACCTGACAGAGAACCTGACAGAGAACCTGACAGAGAACCTGACTGAGAACCTGACAGAGAACCTGACAGAGAACCTGACAGAGAACCTGACTGAGAACCTGACTGAGAACCTGACAGAGAACCTGACAGAGAACCTGACAGAGAACCTGACTGAGAACCTGACTGAGAACCTGACAGAGAACCTGACCTGAACCTGACAGAGAACCTGACTGAGAACCTGACAGAGAACCTGACAGAGAACCTGACAGAGAACCTGACAGAGAACCTGACAGAGAACCTGACTGAGAACCTGACTGAGAACCTGACTGAGAACCTGACTCTGAACCTGACTCTGAACCTGACAGAGAACCTGACAGAGAACCTGACTGAGAACCTGACTGAGAACCTGACAGAGAACCTGACTGAGAACCTGACTGAGAACCTGACAGAGAACCTGACAGAGAACCTGACTGAGAACCTGACTAAGAACCTGACAGAGAACCTGACAGAGATCCTGACAGAGAACCTGACAGAGAACCTGACAGAGAACCTGACTGAGAACCTGACTGAGAACCTGACAGAGAACCTGACAGAGAACCTGACTGAGAACCTGACTGAGAACCTGACTGAGAACCTGACAGAGAACCTGACTCTGAACCTGACAGAGAACCTGACAGAGAACCTGACTGAGAACCTGACTGAGAACCTGACAGAGAACCTGACAGAGAACCTGACTGAGAACCTGACTGAGAACCTGACTGAGAACCTGACAGAGAACCTGACAGAGAACCTGACTGAGAACCTGACAGAGAACCTGACTGAAGACGAACCTGACTGAACCTGACAGAGAACCTGACAGAGAACCTGACTGAGAACCTGACGAGAACCTGACAGAGAACCTGACTGAGAACCTGACAGAGAACCTGACTCTGAACCTGACTCTGAACCTGACAGAGAACCTGACAGAGAACCTGACTGAGAACCTGACTGAGAACCTGACAGAGAACCTGACTGAGAACCTGACGAGAACCTGACAGAGACCTGACAGAGAACCTGACAGAGAACCTGACAGAGAACCTGACTGAGAACCTGACTGAGAACCTGACAGAGAACCTGACAGAGAACCTGACTGAGAACCTGACTGAGAACCTGACTGAGAACCTGACAGAGAACCTGACTCAGAACCTGACAGAGAACCTGACTCTGAACCTGACAGAGAACCTGACAGAGAACCTGACAGAGAACCTGACAGAGAACCTGACAGAGAACCTGACTGAGAACCTGACTGAGAACCTGACAGAGAACCTGACAGAGAACCTGACTGAGAACCTGACTGAGAACCTGACAGAGAACCTGACTCTGAACCTGACAGAGAACCTGACTGAGAACCTGACAGAGAACCTGACAGAGAACCTGACTGAGAACCTGACTGAGAACCTGACAGAGAACCTGACTGAGAACCTGACAGAGAACCTGACAGAGATCCTGACAGAGAACCTGACAGAGAACCTGACAGAGAACCTGACAGAGAACCTGACAGAGAACCTGACTGAGAACCTGACTGAGAACCTGACAGAGAACCTGACAGAGAACCTGACTGAGAACCTGACTGAGAACCTGACAGAGAACCTGACTGAGAACCTGACTGAGAACCTGACAGAGAACCTGACAGAGAACCTGACTGAGAACCTGACTGAGAACCTGACAGAGAACCTGACAGAGAACCTGACTGAGAACCTGACAGAGAACCTGACAGAGAACCTGACAGAGAACCTGACTGAGAACCTGACAGAGAACCTGACAGAGAACCTGACAGAGAACCTGACAGAGAACCTGACTGAGAACCTGACTGAGAACCTGACAGAGAACCTGACAGAGAACCTGACAGAGAACCTGACAGAGAACCTGACAGAGAACCTGACTGAGAACCTGACTGAGAACCTGACAGAGATCCTGACAGAGAACCTGACAGAGAACCTGACAGAGAACCTGACTGAGAACCTGACAGAGAACCTGACAGAGAACCTGACTGAGAACCTGACAGAGAACCTGACTGAGAACCTGACAGAGAACCTGACTGAGAACCTGACTGAGAACCTGACTGAGAACCTGACTGAGAACCTGACTGAGAACCTGACAGAGAACCTGACTGAGAACCTGACTGAGAACCTGACTGAGAACCTGACAGAGAACCTGACAGAGAACCTGACTGAGAACCTGACTGAGAACCTGACAGAGAACCTGACAGAGAACCTGACTGAGAACCTGACAGAGAACCTGACAGAGAACCTGACAGAGAACCTGACTGAGAACCTGACAGAGAACCTGACAGAGAACCTGACAGAGAACCTGACAGAGAACCTGACTGAGAACCTGACTGAGAACCTGACAGAGAACCTGACAGAGAACCTGACAGAGAACCTGACAGAGAACCTGACAGAGAACCTGACTGAGAACCTGACTGAGAACCTGACAGAGATCCTGACAGAGAACCTGACAGAGAACCTGACAGAGAACCTGACTGAGAACCTGACAGAGAACCTGACAGAGAACCTGACTGAGAACCTGACAGAGAACCTGACTGAGAACCTGACAGAGAACCTGACTGAGAACCTGACTGAGAACCTGACTGAGAACCTGACAGAGAACCTGACAGAGAACCTGACTGAGAACCTGACAGAGAACCTGACAGAGAACCTGACTGAGAACCTGACTGAGAACCTGACAGAGAACCTGACAGAGAACCTGACAGAGAACCTGACAGAGAACCTGACAGAGAACCTGACAGAGAACCTGACTGAGAACCTGACTGAGAACCTGACAGAGAACCTGACAGAGAACCTGACAGAGAACCTGACAGAGAACCTGACAGAGAACCTGACTGAGAACCTGACTGAGAACCTGACAGAGAACCTGACAGAGAACCTGACTGAGAACCTGACTGAGAACCTGACAGAGAACCTGACAGAGAACCTGACAGAGAACCTGACTGAGAACCTGACTGAGAACCTGACAGAGAACCTGACTGAGAACCTGACAGAGAACCTGACTGAGAACCTGACTGAGAACCTGACTGAGAACCTGACAGAGAACCTGACAGAGAACCTGACAGAGAACCTGACAGAGAACCTGACAGAGAACCTGACTGAGAACCTGACTGAGAACCTGACAGAGAACCTGACAGAGAACCTGACAGAGAACCTGACAGAGAACCTGACTGAGAACCTGACAGAGAACCTGACAGAGATCCTGACAGAGAACCTGACAGAGAACTTGACAGAGAACCTGACAGAGAACCTGACTGAGAACCTGACAGAGAACCTGACAGAGAACCTTACTGAGAACCTGACAGAGAACCTGACAGAGAACCTGACTGAGAACCTGACTGAGAACCTGACAGAGAACCTGACAGAGAACCTGACAGAGAACCTGACAGAGAACCTGACTGAGAACCTGACAGAGAACCTGACAGAGATCCTGACAGAGAACCTGACAGAGAACATGACAGAGAACCTGACAGAGAACCTGACTGAGAACCTGACAGAGAACCTGACAGAGAACCTTACTGAGAACCTGACAGAGAACCTGACAGAGATCCTGACAGAGAACCTGACAGAGAACCTGACAGACAACCTGACTGAGAACCTGACAGAGAACCTGACAGACAACCTGACTGAGAACCTGACAGAGAACCTGACAGAGAACCTGACAGAGAACCTGACTGAGAACCTGACTGAGAACCTGACAGAGAACCTGACAGAGAACCTGACTGAGAACCTGACTGAGAACCTGACAGAGAACCTGACAGAGAACCTTACTGAGAACCTGACAGAGAACCTGACAGAGATCCTGACAGAGAACCTGACAGAGAACCTGACAGACAACCTGACTGAGAACCTGACAGAGAACCTGACAGACAACCTGACTGAGAACCTGACAGAGAACCTGACAGAGAACCTGACAGAGAACCTGACTGAGAACCTGACTGAGAACCTGACAGAGAACCTGACAGAGAACCTGACTGAGAACCTGACTGAGAACCTGACAGAGAACCTGACAGAGAACCTGACTGAGAACCTGACTGAGAACCTGACAGAGAACCTGACAGAGAACCTGACAGAGAACCTGACAGAGATCCTTACAGAGAACCTGACAGAGAACCTGACAGACAACCTGACTGAGAACCTGACAGAGAACCTGACAGACAACCTGACTGAGAACCTGACAGAGAACCTGACAGAGAACCTGACAGAGAACCTGACTGAGAACCTGACTGAGAACCTGACAGAGAACCTGACAGAGAACCTGACTGAGAACCTGACTGAGAACCTGACAGAGAACCTGACAGAGAACCTTACTGAGAACCTGACAGAGAACCTGACAGAGATCCTGACAGAGAACCTGACAGAGAACCTGACAGACAACCTGACTGAGAACCTGACAGAGAACCTGACAGACAACCTGACTGAGAACCTGACAGAGAACCTGACAGAGAACCTGACAGAGAACCTGACTGAGAACCTGACTGAGAACCTGACAGAGAACCTGACAGAGAACCTGACTGAGAACCTGACTGAGAACCTGACAGAGAACCTGACAGAGAACCTGACTGAGAACCTGACAGAGAACCTGACAGAGAACCTGACTGAGAACCTGACAGAGAACCTGACTGAGAACCTGACTGAGAACCTGACAGAGAACCTGACTCTGAACCTGACAGAGAACCTGACAGAGAACCTGACAGAGAACCTGACTGAGAACCTGACAGAGAACCTGACTGAGAACCTGACTGAGAACCTGACAGAGAACCTGACTCTGAACCTGACAGAGAACCTGACAGAGAACCTGACTGAGAACCTGACTGAGAACCTGACAGAGAACCTGACAGAGAACCTGACTGAGAACCTGACTGAGAACCTGACTGAGAACCTGACAGAGAACCTGACAGAGAACCTGACTGAGAACCTGACTGAGAACCTGACAGAGAACCTGACTCTGAACCTGACTCTGAACCTGACAGAGAACCTGACAGAGAACCTGACAGAGAACCTGACTGAGAACCTGACTGAGAACCTGACTGAGAACCTGACAGAGAACCTGACAGAGAACCTGACTGAGAACCTGACTGAGAACCTGACTGAGAACCTGACAGAGAACCTGACAGAGAACCTGACAGAGAACCTGACAGAGAACCTGACAGAGAACCTGACAGAGAACCTGACAGAGAACCTGACTGAGAACCTGACAGAGAACCTGACAGAGAACCTGACTGAGAACCTGACAGAGAACCTGACAGAGAACCTGACTGAGAACCTGACAGAGAACCTGACAGAGAACCTGACAGAGAACCTGACAGAGAACCTGACAGAGAACCTGACAGAGAACCTGACAGAGAACCTGACAGAGAACCTGACAGAGAACCTGACAGAGAACCTGACAGAGAACCTGACAGAGAACCTGACAGAGAACCTGACAGAGAACCTGACAGAGAACCTGACAGAGAACCTGACAGAGAACCTGACAGAGAACCTGACAGAGAACCTGACAGAGAACCTGACAGAGAACCTGACAGAGAACCTGACAGAGAACCTGACTGAGAACCTGACAGAGAACCTGACTGAGAACCTGACTGAGAACCTGACAGAGAACCTGACTGAGAACCTGACTGAGAACCTGACTGAGAACCTGACTGAGAACCTGACTGAGAACCTGACAGACAACCTGACAGAGAACCTGACAGAGAACCTGACTGAGAACCTGACTGAGAACCTGACAGAGAACCTGACTCTGAACCTGACAGAGAACCTGACAGAGAACCTGACAGAGAACCTGACTGAGAACCTGACTGAGAACCTGACTGAGAACCTGACTGAGAACCTGACAGAGAACCTGACAGAGAACCTGACTGAGAACCTGACAGAGAACCTGACAGAGAACCTGACTGAGAACCTGACTGAGAACCTGACAGAGAACCTGACAGAGAACCTGACAGAGAACCTGACAGAGAACCTGACTGAGAACCTGACGAGAACCTGACAGAGAACCTGACTGAGAACCTGACTGAGAACCTGACAGAGAACCTGACTCTGAACCTGACAGAGAACCTGACAGAGAACCTGACCGAGAACCTGACTGAGAACCTGACAGAGAACCTGACAGAGAACCTGACTGAGAACCTGACTGAGAACCTGACAGAGAACCTGACAGAGAACCTGACTGAGAACCTGACTGAGAACCTGACAGAGAACCTGACTCTGAACCTGACAGAGAACCTGACAGAGAACCTGACAGAGAACCTGACTGAGAACCTGACTGAGAACCTGACTGAGAACCTGACTGAGAACCTGACAGAGAACCTGACAGAGAACCTGACTGAGAACCTGACAGAGAACCTGACAGAGAACCTGACTGAGAACCTGACTGAGAACCTGACTGAGAACCTGACTGAGAACCTGACAGAGAACCTGACTGAGAACCTGACAGAGAACCTGACAGAGAACCTGACAGAGAACCTACAGAGAACCTGACAGAGAACCTACAGCTTCATAAAGGTCAGATTTTGTGGGGATGTTAGTGTCCCGTGTCCTGAACTTTGTTTCTTCTTAAATCCTTGGGTTTTGTTTAAATCCACACTTTAGTGCCACAAACTCTGCTCGTCTGGCTCTGGCTCTAACTCCCGCTCTGATGAACTGCTCTGATTGGTCAGAGGCCGAGCCCCTCTGTGCACGTGCGTGAGACCCTCTGTGCACGTGCGTGAGACCCTCTGTGCACGTGCATGAGACCCTCTGTGCACGTGCGTGAGACCCTCTGTGCACGTGCGTGAGACCCTCTGTGCACGTGCGTGAGACCCTCTGTGCACGTGCGTGAGACCCTCTGTGCACGTGCGTGAGACCCTCTGTGCACGTGCGTGAGACCCTCTGTGCACGTGCGTGAGACCCGGTGTGAGACCCACACGTGTGTTTGGTGCAATGCATTATGGGAGATCATCCACTGCACAGAACCGGGAGGACCAGACGATGCCCAAATACAGGAGAGTTTCCCATAGATCTTTGAGAGTTTCCCATAGACCTTTGAGAGTTTCCCATAGATCTTTGAGAGTTTCCCATAGATCTTTGAGAGTTTCCCAAAGATCTTTGAGAGTTTCCCATAGATCTTTGAGAGTTTCCCAAAGATCTTTGAGAGTTTCCCATAGATCTTTGAGAGTTTCCCATAGATCTTTGAGAGTTTCCCAAAGATCTTTGAGAGTTTCATAGATCTTTGAGAGTTTCCCATAGATCTATGAGAGTTTCCTATAGATCTTTGAGAGTTTCCCATAGATCTTTGAGAGTTTCCCAAAGATCTTTGAGAGTTTCATAGATCTTTGAGAGTTTCCCATAGATCTATGAGAGTTTCCTATAGATCTTTGAGAGTTTCCCATAGATCTTTGAGAGTTTCCCAAAGATCTTTGAGAGTTTCCCATAGATCTTTGAGAGTTTCCCATAGATCTTTGAGAGTTTCCCAAAGATCTTTGAGAGTTTCATAGATCTTTGAGAGTTTCCCATAGATCTATGAGAGTTTCCTATAGATCTTTGAGAGTTTCCCATAGATCTTTGAGAGTTTCCCATAGATCTTTGAGAGTTTTCATAGATCTTTGAGAGTTTCCCATAGATCTTTGAGAGTTTCCATAGATCTTTGAGAGTTTCCCATAGATCTTTGAGAGTTTCCCATAGATCTTCAGATCTTTGAGGTTTCATAGATCTTTGAGAGTTTCCCATAGATCTATGAGAGTTTCCTATAGATCTTTGAGAGTTTCCCATAGATCTTTGAGAGTTTCTCATAGATCTTTGAGAGTTTCTCATAGATCTTTGAGAGTTTCCCATAGATCTTTGAGAGTTTCCCATAGATCTTTGAGAGTTTCATAGATCTTTGAGAGTTTCCCATAGATCTTTGAGAGTTTCATAGATCTTTGAGAGTTTCCCATAGATCTTTGAGAGTTTCATAGATCTTTGAGAGTTTCCCATAGATCTTTAAGAGTTTCTCATAGATCTTTGAGAGTTTCCCATAGATCTTTGAGAGTTTCCCATAGTTCTTTGAGAGTTTCCTATAGATCTTTGAGAGTTTCTCATAGATCTTTGAGAGTTTCCCATAGATCTTTGAGAGTTTCCCATAGATCTTTGAGAGTTTCCCATAGATCTTTGAGAGTTTCCCATAGATCTTTGAGAGTTTCTCATAGATCTTTGAGAGTTTCCTATAGATCTTTGAGAGTTTCTCATAGATCTTTGAGAGTTTCCCATAGATCTTTGAGAGTTTCCCATAGATCTTTGAGAGTTTCCCATAGATCTTTGAGAGTTTCCCATAGATCTTTGAGAGTTTCATAGATCTTTGAGAGTTTCCCATAGATCTTTGAGAGTTTCCCATAGATCTTTGAGAGTTTCCCATAGATCTTTGAGAGTTTCCCATAGATCTTTGAGAGTTTCCCATAGATCTTTGAGAGTTTCTCATAGATCTTTGAGAGTTTCCTATAGATCTTTGAGAGTTTCCCATAGATCTTTGAGAGTTTCCCATAAATCTTTGAGAGTTTCTCATAGATCTTTGAGAGTTTCCCATAGATCTTTGAGAGTTTCTCATAGATCTTTGAGAGTTTCCCATAGATCTTTGAGAGTTTCTCATAGATCTTTGAGAGTTTCCATAGATCTTTGAGAGTTTCCCATAGATCTTTGAGAGTTTCCCATAGATCTTTGAGAGTTTCTCATAGATCTTTGAGAGTTTCCCATAGATCTTTGAGAGTTTCCATAGATCTTTGAGAGTTTCCCATAGATCTTTGAGAGTTTCTCATAGATCTTTGAGAGTTTCCCATAGATCTTTGAGAGTTTCTCATAGATCTTTGAGAGTTTTCCATAGATCTTTGAGAGTTTCATAGATCTTTGAGAGTTTCCCATAGATCTTTGAGAGTTTCTCATAGATCTTTGAGAGTTTCATAGATCTTTGAGAGTTTCTCATAGATCTTTGAGAGTTTCCCATAGATCTTTGAGAGTTTCCCATAGATCTTTGAGAGTTTCCATAGATCTTTGAGAGTTTCTCATAGATCTTTGAGAGTTTCTCATAGATCTTTGAGAGTTTCCCATAGATCTTTGAGAGTTTCTCATAGATCTTTGAGAGTTTCTCATAGATCTTTGAGAGTTTCCCATAGATCTTTGAGAGTTTCTCATAGATCTTTGAGAGTTTCCCATAGATCTTTGAGAGTTTCCCATAGATCTTTGAGAGTTTCCCATAGATCTTTGAGAGTTTCCCAAAGATCTTTGAGAGTTTCCCATAGATCTTTGAGAGTTTCCCATAGATCTTTGAGAGTTTCATAGATCTTTGAAAGTTTCCCATAGATCTTTGAGAGTTTCCCATAGATCTTTGAGAGTTTCAAAGATCTTTGAGAGTTTCTCATAGATCTTTGAGAGTTTCCCATAGATCTTTGAGAGTTTCCCATAGATCTTTGAGAGTTTCCCATAGATCTTTGAGAGTTTCTCATAGATCTTTGAGAGTTTCACATAGATCTTTGAGAGTTTCCCATAGATCTTTGAGAGTTTCCCATAGATCTTTGAGAGTTTCTCATAGATCTTTGAGAGTTTCCCATAGATCTTTGAGAGTTTCCCATAGATCTTTGAGAGTTTCCCATAGATCTTTGAGAGTTTCTCATAGATCTTTGAGAGTTTCTCATAGATCTTTGAGAGTTTCCCATAGATCTTTGAGAGTTTCCCATAGATCTTTGAGAGTTTCCCATAGATCTTTGAGAGTTTCCCATAGATCTTTGAGAGTTTCTCATAGATCTTTGAGAGTTTCCCATAGATCTTTGAGAGTTTCCCATAGATCTTTGAGAGTTTCCCATAGATCTTTGAGAGTTTCAGGCAACTTCCGCTAATCTTTCAGCCCCCATGCCGTCACAAAGTGCCACTGAGCACGACCATTCATTTGAATAGGGCGCCATCTTGGATCGCCGGGGCTTGGGCTTCAGTCAAAGCACATGGACCATGTTTGTGCTGCTGGTCCTTGTCATAGATCAGATCCACACACATCACTTGTATTTAAACTTGCGAGTGACGCGGCGCTCTGACCATGTGGACGAGCCGTTGTTTGCTGCTAAAAACGTTTGGTTTTAACCCGCAGCACAATGGGAAGATTAAACAGCAGTTCTCTGTGCGCAAAGGAGCTGAAGCTGTTGCTGGTGCTGAAGTTGTTGCTGGTATCGCTGTCTCGGCTCTGATCCAGTAGAACGCAGAGCTGCACTTATGAAAAGTACGCGGCTCGAAATGGCTGTTATTTCAAAGAACGTGGACTATTTTAAACTACGCGGTTAAACCGGTTTCAACCGGTTAATGAGGCTCGGTGGTCGGTCATGAAAATTCATCGTTTTTTACATCCCTAGTTCTGACGTCACACTATAAAACATAAGTCTTTTTACAGTGTTCTTCTGACGTCACACTATAAAACATAAGTCTTTTTACAGTGTCCTGACGTCACACTATAAAACATAAGTCTTTTTACAGTGTCCTGACGTCACACTATAAAACATAAGTCTTTTTACAGTGTCCTGACGTCACACTATAAAACATAAGTCTTTTTACAGTGTTCTGACCTCACACTATAAAACATAAGTCTTTTTACAGTGTTCTGACATGACACAATAAAACATAAGTGTGTTTGACCTGTGACCTCAGGAGACCCTCTCAGGATCGTGATGATTGGAAAGACCGGCGTGGGGAAGAGTGCGGTGGGAAACACTCTGGTTGGTCGTAAGATCTTTAAGTCGTGCCCCAGCGCCGGGTCCGTGACGGAGAACTGTGAGATGGAGCGGCTGAGGGGGGGACGCAAGGTCCATGTGGTGGACACACCAGGAATCCTGGACACTTCCAAAAACGCAGAAACCATCAAGAGGGAGATCTCCAAGTGCATCCAGATGTCCAGCCCTGGGCCCCACGTGTTCCTCCTGGTGCTGCAGGTGGGCAGGTTCACCAAGGAGGAGGAGAACTGCGTGGAGGCTCTGGAGAAGATCTTCGGACCCAACGCCACTCGCTTCATGATCGTCCTGTTCAGCCGTGGAGACGAGCTGGAGGGACGCACCATCCAACAGTACGTCCAGAGCGGCAGCCCCAAGCTCCGGGAGGTCCTCAACAAGTGCGGCAACCGCTACCACGTCTTCAACAACAAGAAGAGAACCAACCGCCGCCAAGTCCACAAGCTCATCCGCATGATCGACCGGCTGGTGGCGGCCAACGGAGGAGGCTTCTACGACGAGCAGATGTACGACTCAAACCCTGTCTCTGAGGACGTCCAGCCCCAGCAGGTGGAGGCCCCCTGTAGGCCCCCCGCCTGGGACCGCTTCAACAGCGACCTCCTGCAGAGAGTCTGTCTGTTCCAGGCCTTTCTGCAGGCGATCGGCCTCCCCGAGCTGGACGACAGCTGGCTGCAACCAGGCATTAACCAAGCCCAACCAGCCGCTAACCAGGCTCAACCAGGCATTAACCAGCCGCTAACCAGGCCCAACCAGGCATTAACCAGGCCCAACCAGCCGCTAATCAGGCCCAACCAGCCATTAACCAGGCCCAACCAGCAGCTAACCAGGCTCAACCAGGCATTAACCAGCCGCTAACCAGGCTCAACCAGGCATTAACCAGGCCCAACCAGCCGCTAACCAGGCCCAACCAGGCCCAACCAGCCGCTAACCAGGCCCAACCAGCCATTAACCAGGCCCAACCAGTCACTAACCAGGCCCAACCAGCCATTAACCAGGCCCAACCAGCCACTAACCAGGCCCAACCAGTCACTAACCAGGCCCAACCAGCCATTAACCAGGCCCAATCAGC